AACTTTATGAATGAACCTTTACATTATGTTAAAGTATGTGTTATACCTTGATGAAGATACTTTTACACTAAGTCAAAGTATGTAATGTACCTCGTTGAATGAACTATAACACTAATACATATTAAAAGTACTAAGTCAAAATATGAAATGCACCATGATTAATGATCCTTTACACTTATTAAAAGTATGTAATGTACCTTGATGAATAACCCATTAAACTAAGTCAAAGTATGTAATGTACATTGATAAATAGACCTTTACACGAAATAAAAGTATGTAATGTACCTTGTTGAATAGATCTTTACACTAAGTCAAAGTATGTAATGTACTATAACAAATGGGAATTTATACTAAGTCAAAGTATGTAATGTATTTTAATGAATTAACATTTACACTAAGTCCAAGCATGTAATGTACATTAATGAATGAACGTAAATTTAATTCACAATATGTAATGTACCTTGATGAGTTTACATTTACACCAAGTCAAAGTTTTTTATGTGCCTTGATGAATGAACCTTCACACTAAGTCAAAGTATGTAATATAGCTTGATGAATGGATATTTACAATAAATCAAAGTATGTAATGTACCTTGATGATTTATACTAAGTCAAAATATATAATGTACCATGATGAATGAACCTTTACATTAATCTAAAGTATGTAATGTAGCTTGATGAATGAACATTTACATGAAGTTAAAATATATAATGTACCATGATGAATGGACCTTTACACTCAGTCAAAGTATGTAATATAGCTTTATAAATGGACTTTTACACTAAATCACAATATGTAATGCACCTTGATGAATTAACCTTAACACTTAGTCAAAGAATGTAATGTACCATGATGATTGGATTTTTATACTAAGTTTAAGTCTGTAATTTACATTGACAAATGGATATTTACCCTAAGTTAAAGTATGTTATCTACCATGATGAATGGACCTTTAAACTAAGTCAAAGTATGTAATGTACCATGATGAATGGACCTTTAATTATATAAGTGGATAATGTTTTATAAATAAAAAAAACTAGTAAATGCTTTGTAGTGCACCCAAACCCTTATAACCAAGCAACGGGCTTTGAAAAATAAAATTAAGAGTCCAAATCTTTAGAACCCAACTCCAATAATTTCTAACCTTTAGAAAGTTGCAGAGATTCCAATTGTGAAACTTTGAAACCATCACTATCCACGACCATGTTGAAATAGAGGAAGAGGATTTCTTTTCTACCCCGTAGTTTTTTAACGCACTTCATGAAATTCCAAAAATACCCCTTAAAACTGCAAATTTATTTTCGGTACGCACCTCGCCCAAACATATATGGTATATAAAAGTTGGATAGAAACCGGAAATATACATACGGTTGCAACCGTAAATATATTTATGGTTGCACCCCAAACATACAGAATGGCATGGCCTTGGAATTCAAGCTCCGATCAAGATATGAACCGAGATTGAATTTACGGTGGAAACCAGAAGTATATTTTCGGTTTGTGTTCTGAGTTAAAGGCGCGCTACCTTTTTCCCTCCCTTTACAATAGAATTTTCAGACAAAAAAAAACACACAAAACACCCGTTTCCTCTCAAGCCCCACTGTTACAAAATCAAACCACTTTGCAAAAAACTCGTCAGGAATCGTAAAGCATCAGTTAACTTAATTATTCGACCATATTGTTTCAATATTAAGAGTCATTAGAAAAATGTTGGAACTCTCATTTTTATGATCAATGACCATTTTTTGGAGGTCATTTATGGCTCTGCTTTGCAATTGACGGAGCTCTAAAATTTCAAGTCGTATCGAAAATGTATTTTTGGTCTTCATTTAACGTTGAAGAAAATCGGTAATGCATTTCAGGTTTTAGTTTGTTTCTATATTCCCCTTCATTTTGAACATTAGTTCTTATGTTAACGTTTGTTTTGTACTTCTATAGAAGTAATGGCTGAGAGATCATCTAAGTTGAGGCACGGCAGACTTGCACAACATGCTTCTGTGCAGAGAGAAAGAAGTCGAGCATCTCAGGCTCCTTTTGTCTCTGGACAGACTGTGTCGGATGCGCCTACTACAGCCTCAGCCTCAAGTATTCCTATTTCTACTCTGACTTCATTGTCCTCCCAGAGCGGGCGGGATTCTCCAGTTCATCCCTCCCCACCTTCGTCCTCTTGTAGACGTACTTCCTCACCGATGGTATTTGAGGCGGGAGAGACATCTGGTTCCCAGCTGGCACCAGAGGTCACACAACTGACACCTGAGGCCCGATCACAACCTGCATTCCAGCCTCAGTCACAAACGGCACCTGAGGAGGCACCCCAGACATCTCATGCAATTGAGGCAGCACCCTAGATATCACAGGCACCTGAGTCGGCACCCCAAACATCTCAGGCACCTGAGCTGGCACCTGAGGAAGAATCCTAGACATCTCAAACATTGAGTCGGCACCTCAGGTGGCACCTACAGTGCCTCAAGGTTTTGGACGAGGAGCGTTTGATTTATCTCTACTGCCTTTGTACCTGGACCATGTTGCTAGACATATATAGGACAAAGAGGTATGAATTTTGAATTGTTCCTTCTATTACATTTTTATTATGGATTTTTGTTGAATGAATTTTGTCAAACCATGTATGCAGGAATGTGATCCGCGTCAAACCATGTATGCAGAAACGTGGTCCGCTGAAGGTCATTAATCATGGGTGGATGATCAGTAAACTCGAAGCTCTTCTTGAGTCATGGTTTCATGAGTTGTTGCTGCTTACAGGGTTGAAAGATTTAACCAAGAGTGGTTATAGCATCGTTAATTAGGTTATGATTAACGCTTATGTTGAGAGGTGGTACCATGAGACATCGTCATTCCATCTACCACATGGTAATATGACGATCACATTGGATGACATCGCGTCTCTGCTGCGTCTTCCGATAGAGGAACATTTTTAGATCATGACAGGATTGGCAAAGCATGGGCATTGGATATGTTGGTAGAGAAGTTGGAAGTTACCCCTGAGAGTGTCATGGATGAGATGGACTTCACCCGTGGTGCCCACGTCAGATATAGTTATTTGAAGACGGTGTTCACAGATGAGATAAGACGTGCACAAAGGTTGATGGTGATCTCGAGCAGGTTACCCTACACTGAAGGTTTTCTATGAGAGCGTGCCTTTTATTTCTGGTTGGCACATAGATTTTTGTGGACATTAGTGCCACTTACATAGATGTGATGTACTTGGGGTACTTTGATGATTTTGAGCAGATCCACAAGTGAAACTGGGGGGGCTTCTTGTTTGGTGCACTTGTATACGAAGTTGTCTGAAGGATGTAAGTGGAAGACGAAGCAGATGACCGGCAATATCACACTCGTGACGGTAAAATTTCTTGGTCTTTGTGGCGTTTTGTTAATTATTATAATTTCGTTACTACTAATTAATAATTATTGTTATTTCAGGGCTGGATCCTACAACACTTCCCTAGCGGTCACTTGCTACAGATTATACTAAAGATAAGCCACATGCCACTACATACGACCCGCTACGAGGAAACCAAGCGACAAAGTCATTCTGGGTATATATTAACCGGCTGGTGTTTGAGAACATACACTTCCATTCATACGTCGACCACCGTGTCACGATACTATTTAACGATGTTGTGTTGTTTACGGGATGGTTGGCTTATGGGTCGCCCAAGACGACTGCTTATATGCCTGAGCGCATCATGCATCAGTTCGGGTACACCGAGTACATTTTATGGGATCCTACTGTATCTGCTCCTGCGATGGTGAAACGCATGGATATGGGTGTCTCGTTTGATGATTATGAGAATCATCTTGTTTCATATGAGGTCCGAAGTACCTTTACTCCAAATGAATGGAGCTACGTGGACGGTTATATCATATGGTTCTTCAGGGTGTCTCATCCATACCTAGTACAAGATGCTCCAGGAAATCCACCGAGGCCATCTCATCAGGAGATTCTAGAGGAGGAGCAGGCTAGGGCCGATCATGCCACTAATGTGTTGCCTAGGTGTCGTCGTATCATGGAGATCGCGCAGACGGGTATTGATGGAGGTTTGTTTTCTGATGGATCGATGTTATAGGTGTTTTGGATGCCATCATGGCAGAGGCTTAGGAGGCTCTGCTTTATAGGAGGCAGCGGGGGGAGGGTGACGGGCCAAGTCAGAGTCTGTCATACCCAGTAGTCTTTGTTGTTCTATATGTATTTTGGTTATCGTTTGTATTTAGATAATATTTTGGGTTACCCTCTATATTGACTACGAGCATCTTTTGTATTGTTTACTGCTATCTATTTATATATGTGTTTGTAGTATGTTTTGTTGTATACGTCTTTGTATTCATGCGAAACAACGCAAAAAAATACCCACTACATACATAAGTGTTTCTGGTATTGTCTGCACAGAAATCGAAAATACATTTCCGATTCGCTTTGCAATTGTATTTTCGATTTCTAGTCAAGGTATAACTAAAAAAGGTGCATACCAGAAATATATTTATGATTTTCAAGGGATATTTTAATAAATGCATAGGATATTTATTTACATTCTATAAAAAGAAATTCCCATGAAAGAAACTGGTTGACAATTTTGTAGGAAAATGAAAAAAAAGATGCATGGGTAATTTGGGAAAATATATTTGTTATTAAAATTAAAATTCTAAAATAGTTTTTAGTTGACGCAGAAGCTACGATTTGTGGCTTTGAAAAACGCGAGTTTAGAGCTAAATCCCCTTTCAGTCGAATGACGTTTGCAATTATCCAAACATCAAAAAAAAATTAAAGAAATCAAGTTTAACTCTCTAGAGTCACGTTTATGGCCCCAAAACGCAGAACGAGACAGATACTTGGTCGTAACAAGAATTCTTGATATAGAAAGAAAAAGCTACAATCAATAGTAGAAATGTAAGTTTTGTAAAGCCTCGGAAACATTTTCAGGCTGCTATACAGAAACTTGATCATCTGAAGGTTGAAGAAAAGTATATATTATTATTATTGTCATCTTTGGTTAGTAGAACTCTCTCTAATGCTGTTAGTCTTAGCTGCTAAGCGTGCTGTTGAACCAACTGTGGTTGGGCGCAAGGATCTCTGGCGCACCATATGGCAGAATTCGGGATCATTTGTCTTCCCCTCATACCTTATCCATTGTACTATCTCATGATAAAAAGGAAAGAACTGGATCTTCATTGCTGAATAAGACAAGTATGGTATGAGTGTTGTGATCACCACAAACAATGTGACAATCCAATAAGAAGGAGATGGTGCAAGAGTTTCAAGGAAGAGTTTATAAGAAATTGTGGAAATTCCAGGAGGTAGTGCACCGTAAACCAATAGAAAAAGGTACCATAGAGCGATGGTTCCCCATATGAAAACATGTTGAATCAATGTGAAGTAATTTATGGCAAGTGCCATCTGCAAGTTCACAACCCAAACCACACATGTATACATAGTTGCTCCGAGTATATCCCTCCCAGCAGTTCTTCCTTCATTATCAAAGGCCTGAATCTCCATGGCGTTTGTGCAGAAGAAGAATATTATTATGGCACTCATAAATCCATTTATCATCCAACTTAGGATCCTCCTCCAGTTAAACAGGACATTTTGCACACCTTCTTGATACAATATAGGAAACTGCCAAGGAATCATCATCATCAACATCATAATATGTAGTTAGAGTGTGATAGGGAAAATAACAGTCATATTATATTGCCAAAATTGAGCTTACTCTTAGACAGTACCGAGCAGATACATCCTGGTCAAAGACTCCAAGGGCAACCACTGGAAGTGATGAAAAGAAGACATTATAGAGAGACAAAAACCAGTCATTGTATGCAGGCTGTCCAGAGAATGATGTACATACTTCATACAAGAATAGAGTAAAGCCAAATGTGATGTTCTTGTAGAAAAAATAGCATATCTGTCACAAGAATAATTATAATCAACAAGCTAATATCAAAACCAAATAAGTAATCTATAGAATGATGAGAGTGTCAATACCATTGATGAGATCCTCCTGTAACACCAATGTCCATGTACAAGAAGTAATCTTTCCAAATAACGAAACTGTGCGATTGCAATATCACTAGACATAACAGCCTGGAGGAAAAAATACTTGTAACAAAACAGTACAAGGAAGCATTAAAGAACAAAAACAAGAATAGTTTATAGTTTATACCTGCATTCCTTCAACTCCACTGATTCCAACCCCTATATCAGCTTCTTGAAGCATTCCAACATCATTAGCTCCATCACCAATAGCTAATGTAGTTTTACCAGTTCCAGATTTTACCAGTCTAGTAACCTTAAGGGAATAACCAATCAAATGTATTATTTTTTAAAACTAAGCTGAACTAAAACAAAATGTCAGAATAGATTGTAGCATACTAGTGCTTTCTGCTTTGGCGATGACCGGCAGCAGATAACAGATGCACAGTGAATTGCAAGATCTAGAAACATGTCCTTCATATTATCCTCTAAAGCGTAGGCGAGTGATTTTCCATCAATAATTAGTGCAAATGCTTGCTCAGAGGTTCCTCTAGAGGCGGCAAGCTGTTGAGCACCATCAGATATCTGATGCCGGATATTTTCCTGTGAAGCCTGAAACATGAGTCAACATAAAGGAACAAGATTAACTCGAAAGTTTCCACTAAAATAGTTACACACCAAGCTATTCCTTCCATGCTAAGAAACCATAAAAATAAAAGAATATAAAGCATTCATCAACCATTTTTATGTTGAAACAAAAGTGAATATTGTCATGTAAATACAATTAATGGAATGCAATAATCCATAAAGTACGAGGTCAAGTTTTCAGCCATATATCTTTGATAAAATACAGACATCAACTTTCCGTGTAACAAGTTCTTATTGCGATATTGTAACGCTAAGACAGACATGTTTTGTCAGTATGCATAATATGAAACTACAGGAGATAAAGAATATAGTAATAAGTTGATAACTATTTTACTTTTGCAATGGCCCTCTTGTCCCCAGCCTTCTCCAATGCTTGAATGTCTGGAGTATCCAACTGAATTATAAGCTGCTTCATTCCTTGTCTAAGAAAACTACAAGCAAAACTGCAATTGTACATCCATGTAAGATACCATGAGAAACAGTTATCTTGATGAAGCATGGAAAAATCACAATATAATACCCAATATTGATGGCAGTCTCCATTTTATCACCAGTTAGAACCCATATCTTAATTCCAGCTTGTGCAAGTTTGTCAATGCAATCAGGAACCTAGCAAAACAATTAAGAGGGATTGTGCAAGTTTTTCAATGCAATTAGGAACCTAGCAAAAGAATTAAGAGGAATCATTTCAAGTTCTGTTCCAACCAATAAATCACTTGTCTCCCAACTCACCCCATTTTGGAGCTTGTCCTCTACAGCAGTTGCACCAAGAAGGATTAGATCACTCTCAATCATATCTGTTACCTCATCTATCAATGTTTCCCGATCTGCACTAACTGAAATTTTTGCTTGAGAAAATTCATTATCAAACTCCTTGTATTTCTCTTCGTCAAGTTCACGGTAAGCCAATATCAGGGTCCTTAGACCTGCGTCAGCATATTCATGCACATCTTCCAAGGTTTTCTCTTCATATTCCCTACTATCCTTGGAAAGTCTTTCAAACATGACACTGCATGCAAATATGACGCAAGGTCAAATGCCAAAATACCAAGGTTCCAAAAGACCAGACTGTTAATCACTCACCTGTCTGCTCCTTTACACAGCAGCAAAATTCTCCCTTCTTCATCTTTCACTATCACTGACATTCGCTTCCTTGTGCTATTGAATTCTAACACATTCAGAAGTGTGAAAACTCTGCATGAAAATGTTTGTCATTCCTGATTACTTGAAGAGGTGATTTTCAAACAAAACAAAAAAAACTGACCTTTCGACTTTGTCGCCAGAAACAGGATCCAATTCATACATGGATAAAGTAGTTTGAGTCCTTTTATAGAATTCAAAACCAATCTCTCTGGCTGCAACCACAAATGCTGCTTCATCAGGAGACTCGGCTTCATACGATACATTTCCTGCATCATCATCCACTTCTGGTATGGCTGTATGACAGATTGCCAACAAGCGAAAAAACTTGTGGATAATATCTGCATTAGGCTCATTAACCCAGGTTCCATTGGTTATCCTTTCATCTGTGAAGTTAAAACCCTTGACGGGTAAGGGTTCATTTGCAATGGGAGAAAGTGTGATGTCATTAATCAAAGGAGAATTATTTCTTCTATTCATGGCCCTCTCGACCTCTGTAACACCACGGCCGTAAGCTACCCCAGCAATGGAACATTTTATAAACTCCATTGAGTTGCAAGTGAGAGTTCCAGTTTTATCAGAAAGTATTGTATCAACTTGTCCAAGTTCCTCATTCAAGTTTGAAGTACGGGCATAGGCATGTTTATCTGCTTCGGCGTAGTACATATGCATATCTTGATTGATGAAGATGCTTTGAAGAACTTTGACAATTTCTATTGATACATACAATGAGATTGGAATGAAGAAACTGTATAACATTAAGGCTGTCAAAAAATGAAATGTAGCAGCAGCAGAAGCTCCTTTAGGATCAAAGAAAATTGTAGAATAATCTGGTCTTAGATACCATCTTTTGATGACACCTTGTTGGTTCAAATCATGTTTAGTTGTAATTCCAAAAAAAACAGATCCAAGAGCTGCCATAAAAAATAAAATGAAAAATAATAAGTAGATAATCGTATCCATCTTCTTCTCAATTCGGCTTCTTTTTGAAGGTGGATGGGTGGAGTTTTGAATGAGCTTAGTGTCATGACCAGTGAAGACGACGACGCCAAAGATGTAGTCTGTATTACGAAGTTTAGAGTCTCTGAGAAGAAGTTGGTGAGAAGATAGGGGATATTGTTGATGATTAAAGTCCATAGTCCCAACAAATGAATATAAATTAGCATTTGGATCTTCACACTTGATGGAAGCTATAAAATCAGAGAAGTGAAAGTCTTGGTGTAAAGAAGAAGTGAGTTCCAAACCTTGTTTTAACTTCAAATTAGTCTCCCCATCCAAATTCATTGTCTCGACATAACAGACTGCATCTTCATAACTGGATGAAACAAGTAGGAGGTCTGCAGGGAAGAATTCATCTTTTATTATCTTTACTATATGCCCCACCTTGAGATTCTTCCACTCAGTATATTCAAAAGTTCCATGACCTTTATGCACTTGAACTCTTGTATTATTGACCTCAATATCCTGTAGTAGAGATAGGTATTAAACACATGATGATTTCAACAGAAAAGACAAAAGTTAAATTGGCAGGAGAAAAAGTAGAGGTAGATAATGATTTCCACAGAAAAGACCAAGTTAAATTGGCAGGAGAAAAAGAAAAAGTAGGTAGGTACCTGTTTTTTGCGTCTCCAATCTTCAATACCTTCTTTAACCATAGTAGCACCAATAACAATAAGCAAAGGAAGAATAGCACTAGCAGCTGTATAGGGAGCAAGGTTTGTAAAGGCCAAAGTACCAGTTACCAAAAAATAGAAATTAGCGACTCTCCTAAACTGTTCAAAGAGTGACTTGGGCAAAAATGTAGCAACAGTATACTTTGTAGAGCTCACTGAATTATCTGCATATTCAAAAGTGTGTGGTTGATTGCAAAACACATGCCTTGAATATCCACGCTCTCCAATATGTGAATGTTCTCTTTTAAAAGACGGTCTCCCACATGCGAAGGAATAGATCTTGCTCAGATGTAACTTGCTCCTCATTTTTCATTCACTACTTGTTCATATTGCCTTCATGATTTGCCAATGAGGTAAGACAATTAAAGCCTGGAAAGATTCCTGATAGTTATAATAATAATAATATGGAAAAAAAAGAACGTGAGTTGAAAAGAGCAAACAGACACGTTGTTGTTGTTGTTGTTGTGAGTCTAGAAAAGCCGTCAACGAAACATAATAACATTATAGAGTTGGTTTGGATCTAGCATTTTCATCCATCGCGCATAACCAATTCCAATGTTTTCCTACAGATTCCAATTTCTCAACTTTCATATAAAACAAATTTAACAGATTCTAATTCCTGAGATACAACAGACACTCACAAGACAACCACTTTCTTCTGTTTTTTTATTATTACTATTATTCTCGCGGGAAAGCTATGGAACTCATCAATGGTGTCACACAACTCTCTCTCTCTCCCACAAATTTCACACCTAAGTAATGCTCACATCAACAAAACAAACAACTAATTTTATATAATACATTTATTCATTAACTTCACCATTTCATACTTAAATAAAACTAACTAATTATTATTTTTATTCTACTTTATTTCACTTTTATTATATTCAAATTCATATAATCAAACATATTTTACAAAATTTAACATTAACACTCTTTATCTCCCTGTTTAGTATATCTATACATTTTACAAAATAATATATCATCTAACTATTTTTTATTTAATGTTATTAATGAATATAAATTGTCGGATCTCTATATAAATTTTATTCCTATTATTGGTGAAGAAAAATTAAATATAATTCATTTTCATAAATAAATTTATATCAAAATCAAACACCTTATCAATATATTAAATCATGTTCAAAAGCTCTAATGTAATCTAATTGTTTATCATCAAAAAAATTATTATGTGTTTTCATGTATTGGATAAAAAAAATATAACATAGATATCATCTCAAAAAAATTTCAAAGTACTCCTTCATACAGTTTCATTGGTTATTAAACTGCAACACAATTAATGTTATTTAGCGAATTTATTCAAAATACTAAAATTTGACGCACCTTAATAATGAATCAACCTATTTCAAATCTACTTCAAAATTTATTGATATGATATCTATATTATAAATATTTTATTCAATGATCAATTTTATAGTCACTTTAGTTTTTGAGTATATGCATTTAATTTTACTAGTGATTAGAAAGAGGAGTGATCAGTCTAAATATTAGTTGATCCAAGTATTCCATAAAGGAGAGTAGGGGTGTACCCGCAAGACACTCTGATACTGAATTCATAAAGAGTGGAGAGGTAAATAAGAGAGAGTTAGAGATGTGAATAAAATACATAATCCTCCACTAGAGGAGGATATTTATAGAGTCCCCAAGCATTGGCTAATGGCCTCCATTATGAGTTAAGGGTCTAGGCTCATAATGAATTACTGCAAGGGTTCTTACGTGGAAGTAGGGATGAGCAGCACATGTCCCTCACCCTGGTTAACTGTCCTGCCATTCTCGGGTCGTGGGCGGACTTGCCTGTTGCGCAGGGCAAGACGGTTATGCATCTCGTGGAATGTGGGTGGTTAGTTCATGACGTGTTCTCGGATGAGGGGCACGTGGAGAATGTGTCTTCAGGTTGGGTCGTCCTCGACGTAGAGGTGAGTTTGATCGTGCCCGACAACGGGCCAGTCACGAGCCCTGTAACACCCCCATTTAAATACTTAGCCACTTGATGATTGAATTTGTAGAACTATGTCGGTTTGACTAAGCAAGTGTGAGAACTTAGTATAGTTCGATAATTGGAGTAAGCTTTGAATAATAAATATAATAATGATAATATTGGTGAGTGATGAAATATTACTATTATTATTAATAAAAATATTATTAGATATATGGTATAGTTACCACTAATAATATTATTATTAATATTATGGTGATTATTATTATTACTATTATTATTATTCCCTTTATTATTATTGGTTATTATTAGATGATAATAAAACATATTTTGAGGGAAGTGGTAGAAAGAGAATTGGGAGAAATTGTTGTCATGTGAAAAGAAGATAAGAGAAGAGAAGAGAAGTTAGGGCAAAAGGGTGACAAGGAGAATCCCACCATTGTTGAAGGATCAAAGCTCCAAACCAAGGTAAGAGGGGAGAATGGGTTCTTTAAATGGTGATTATAACATGAGAGGATTTGTTTCCCTTAGGGTTTTGTGTAGATTTGGTGTATTATGATTCCCTTTGTTGATTGATGATATACATATGTGATTCTATGTAGAATTGTGAATAATTTGATGTTTATGTGTTGTACTTGTTTACCGTGGAAATTGGTAAACAACCGTTGATCTTCCAAAAGGTTACTTATTTGGTGACTCGCAGGATCGATCAGATTGATCCTAAGACATGGTTGATTTTCAGGAGTTTGACTAATCCTAATGGTGATTAATGCCGGTAAAGTAAAGACACTTTAAGTAAATTGCATGAAGAAAAGCTTGATAGAATAAATAAAAGCGTTAAATAAAAGGCTTCGACGGAGATGAGTAAATGAAAAGCAATAAAGTGCTTGAATATAAAAGACTTTGATTAATTTAAATGGTGTTTCACACATACATTCTCAATGATTCTTTCGCTCACACTGGGTACTTGAATCTAGATGAGTGACTTGTATAAAATGATGAACACCTCCGAAAACTACGTGAACAAATAGTATTTATACTAAAACAAATCCTAAGTAACCGTTGGGCGGTTACGTCGCTTCGAGATGACGCCACATGGCACGCTCACAACATTCGACGCTCCTGATCTCGGCATGTTGCACTTGGTAACTGCTGGGAACCGTTTTCCCTCCAAGCATTCAAATCTCAAACCGTTCGACCCTGGGCATCAGGTACCTTTGTCGAGAGGTTCCTTCGACGTCGAAGATGACAAGATTCCCACTTGAAGGAAATTCTCTAAGTACCTTGTCATTCTCTGATGAGCCTTCGACAGGATCAGCTGGTCGAAGCCTGGAAACTCTTCTGACTCATAATTAATAGTATATATTGATAACAAACAAGGGTGTCAAATTTAGGAGCCAACAAATTGCCCCCCAAGAATGTCTTATTTCGACACTGAAAAGAAAAAGGCATTCTTTGAGATTCCACTCGACACCTGTCCTTCACTCTTAGCCACAGATTAGTTTGTGCGCTTTTCGCCTTCTACCAACAAACTGACAATCTCAAAAAGCCATCATTCCACCTGTTCCTAAGACGTCACTTCAGTAAGGCGTTTGGCATGCCCAATGTCCTTTCACAGATTGTCATCATGACGATTCCCCGAAATTGAGGACGCACGCTGCACCGCTTCTGTTCTGTAGAATGGCTATATCACCAAATGAGCGCCACGTGCCCCACTCTTGTCTGAGACATTAAATGACCTCGAGTCTTGTGATTTTCCAATCACTATAAATAGCACTAAGTGCCCCTCGTGGGACTCTTTACGCTTTCCTTCATCCAAGCCTTAAGTCGAACAAAAATTTCTGCAAGAACCTTTGTTCTTCATCCATCTTCATCTCAAACCAAAAATGGCTTCAGGTTCTCGTTCTTCCAATGTCCCCAGTTCTAACACTCCCTCTAAAACTGCTCAACCGACAATCTTTTCAACCGCTCCAACAGTTAACTCCAAGGGAATGTGAAGGGTTCCCAAACCCATGGGAGATGTTGAGCGTGAGACTTACTCTTCTCAACTGCTGATTCCTGTTGGATATTCCAACCAGGTTTTCGCCATGTCTGGTCCTCTATCTGCATGCATCGGTGACCCAACTAAGATCAAGGGTTTATTCCCCGTGCATGAGGCACTCAAGCCCATTGGGTGCTCCAAAAAGGCGACAGACGATAACGAAGATCCTGCAAAAGAAAAGATAGATCTTCGTTTCTTCAACAGAGGGGTTAGGGCTTTTAGGTCTAGCCCTAGCCTTACACCAGAATACAACGCTTGGCTCGACAAGATGGAGAAAAGCCAGGCTTCGATTTGGAAGAACATGGGGATTTATGACCTAGTCATGCTGTCAAAGACTGGTCTCAACTATTCTCCTGAAATGCTGGTAGCTTCTTTGCTATTTTGGGACTATACTCACTTCACCTTCCACCTGCCTTGTGGAATGGTAACACCCACTCTCTTCGACGTGGCTTCCATTACTGGTCTTCGACCAACTGGGGATTACTTTGATCCAAAGGAAATGTCTGAAGACCAGATTGGGTTTTCAGCCACCAAACCCACTTACACCACCTACACCAACCACTATCATGACAAATCGACAGCTGTGGTGACGGACGTGGAGCACATTGCGTTTCTAGCCCTTTGGCTGTCACGCTTCGTGTTCTGCACGAAATCTCTACAGGTGACGAAGAAAATGGTCACCCTTGCTACTCTGCTTCATCACGGTCAAAACATATGTTTGGCCGAATTAATACTGGCGAACCTATATGAGTCGATAAGCAGTGGGGCGACTCTATTAAAGGTAATAGAAAATAAAGCCAGCTTCCTGCTCGCTGGACCCTTCTGGCTACTACAACTATGGCTAAACGCCACTTTTGAGTCTTTTCTACCCCAGAAGGCTCAAATAAACGAACAGGCTCCTGAGATAGCCAGAAGGCGTATCGAAGGTACCAGGCTGGCTTTACTGACTCCCACTGAGGATGGGCTGGAACTCCAACAGACCTTTGCAAACTTCGTTTTGATGTTTGCAGGGAGGAAGGAATTTACCTCGACCATGGCTCCTTTCGCCCGTCGAAATTTTAGTCCAGGGTGGTTCACCAGGCCCCATCCCAAGTCATCAGAGGATCCTCACCTCGAAGAGCACACAACATTGTGGGAAGCATTTCTCACTCCCAGGATAATGCCATTGCGCTTCAAGAGTTCAAAGAATCATCTGAGCCTAATTGCTTATCAGCCAAATCTTGTCTCTCGACAGTTTGGCATTATCCAATCGCTTCCTTCTCCCATTTACCCTAGGGAGAAATCAGTGTTGTACTTTTGTAATGATTA